TAAGAATATGTGTACTTTTACACAACCTAAAGTACCCAGCTTATAATGGGTATTCAAGATATAGAGCTAGTTTTATAAAGTTCCATTGGTTCTACTAAGAAAATAACAATAAAGATTTTAAATAAGCACAGAAAACAACTAAACCTTGATAACTTCACTTGGAACTAGACGTGTGTAGGAAGTCAAGGTAATTATTAACTGGGTACTTGTGTCTAATTGCTTTTCATGTTTCCACTTGTTTCTGTAGGGTAGAATTGGGGCAGCCATTTTAAAGAAAAGAATATGTATTCTTTTAAATCATTTTTAACTATATTATATTAATGGAGAAAAATCAAGGGGCACCTGGCTGGCTCAGTCGGTAGAGCATGCAACTCTTGATCTCAGGGTTATGAGTTTGAGCCCCATGTTAAGTGTAGAGATTATTTAAAAAATTAAAAAAATTTTAAACTTAAATAAAATAAAGGAAAAAAGGCAAGAGAAAATTCATCTACTAGAATGACTATGGAATCCCTCAAGTCAAAATAACAGTGTAAGTATTTGTGTAGATAATGCAGTATGGTATTTTAAAAAATAGTGAAAAGTAAGGTGGTAACTGAAAAATTTGACTGGGTTTGGAACAGATAGATGAATCAGTTTTTGCCTCCGCCACTTAGATTTAATGTGGCTTTATGTAAAGTAACCTCCCTCATACTCTGTTTATTCACCTGTTATATGGGCATGATGAAATCCAGATTGAATGGTTAATATGAAAATTAGAGATTATTGAAAAATCCCTAGTTCCATAATACCAGCTGTTATTATTATTCTACAATGTATAGTATTTTTTGAATATAAAGAATTAGCAAAGTAACAAAGAATTTGTTTGTGGGAAGAGAATAAAACATATGACAATAATTTGAAACTGCAAATGACAAAGCATAATCTTGCAAGGGTCTAAGCTACTATGATGTATATAAAAGCCACAATACACAGGAATGGAAAGTGGTTTCCAAATTTTATTTACCATGACTGTTAGCATATTGTGACCCACTATACCCGCATATATATTTATATATAACTGAAAAAACATTATGAAACAGTACATAGTCTTATTATATGTGATGCACCCTGGTATTTTCTATTTTGTTTTATTTTTTTATATTGCTGTTATAATTCACTAAATAAATCCACTATTTTTGGGGGGTCCAGCGTGGAGCCCAATGTGGAGCTTGAATTCACAGCCCTGAGATCAAGACCTGAGCTGAGATCAAGAGTCAGATGCTTAACCAACTGACCCCCTTGCGCCCCTCAGTCCCCTTTGACCTATATCAATTGCAGTTTGAAAAACACTGTTCTAAAAGATATCTAGGAAATTAAACATATTTTTAGAGTTAAGTATCTCAGCTTGATGATTAGTGTCATCATGTCAGTTGGATCCTATAGAGATCATTGATATTAAGGAAGCTATTTGAAATATTCTCAGCACACTATAAAAGCATTAAGTATAGTAAACAATGTAGAATGTATAATGAGCTATGAATTGAATATGGTATAACTGAATGCTTGTGGTTAATTCCATATTACACCAGAAGATGAAATTATTCTAAAACATTGCTATTTAATTAAGGAAACATTTTAGCATAGGAAATGGTTTATTCCCAAAGTACATTCAAAAAATATTTATATTGAGATATAATTTACATACAATGAAACTCATTGCTTGTTGGAATATTCACAAAGTTGCAAAATCATCACCACTAGAACATTTTCATCTCCCCCCAAAACCCTTTTACCCATTAGCATTCACTTTCTATTCCTCTCTCCCCCAGCCCCTGCCAATCACTAATCTACTTTCTGCCACTATAGATCTGTTTATTCTTGTTATTTCATATAAATGGAAGCAAACAATATGCAGCCTGGTATGCCTTTGTCATTTAGCATGATTTTTCAAGGTTCATCTGTGTAGGAGCATATATCAGTATTTTATTCTTTTTTGTGTCTGAATAATATTTCAGTGTTTGGATCTATCACATTTTGTTTATCCATTAATCAATTGATGGACGTTTGGGTTGTTTATATCTTTTGACTATTTTGAATAATGGTGCTATGAACATTCCTGCTGCATATAAGTTTTTAATTCTGTTGGGTAGATGCCCTGAAATGGAATTGTTGGGTCAATTGATAACTGTTTATCTTTTTGGGGAACTGCCCAACTATTTTCCAGAGCGGCTGCACCATTTTATATTCCCACTAGTAATGTATGAGTGTTCCAGTTTCTTCACATCTTTATCAACATTTGTTATTGTCCTTTTTTTTCCCTCTCTTAGTAGATGTGAAGTAGTATCTCATTGTAGTTTTGATTTGTACTTCCTAAGGACTATTGATGTTGAGCATCTTTTTGTGTACTTGCTTGCCATTCATATATCTTCTTTGTAGAAAGGTTTATTCAAGTCTTTTGCCCATTTTTAAATTGACTTGTTGTCTTGTTGTTGTGTTATAAGAGTCCTTTATATATTCTGGTTACCAGACCTTATCTGATACATGATATGCAAATATGTTCTCCCATTTTTTGTCACTTTTTTTTTCTTTCTTAATGATGTCTTTTGAAGCATAAAAGTTTTGATTTGGATAAAGTACAATTGATCTGCCTTCCTAGGATTTGTTTTTCTTGGTTACTTGTGCTTTAGGTATCGTATCTAAGCCTAATTCAACAACACAAAGATTTATAGATATGTTTTCTTCTAGGTTTAATAGTTTTAGTTCCATTTTTGAGTCTTTTTTGAGTTAATTTTTGTATATGATGTGAGACTGGGGTCCAGTTTCATTCAGTCTTTTGCATGTGTCTATCCAGTTGTCCTAGCGCCATTTGTTACAAAGAATATTCCTCCCCAGTTGATTGTCTTTGTACCCTTTTAAAAAATCAACCATATTGAGGCACCTGGGTGGCTCAGTCGGTTGAGCATCCAACTTTGGCTCAGGTCATGATCTCGTGGTCCATGGGTTTGAGCCCCATGTTGGGCTCTGTGCTGACAGCTAAGAGCCTAGAGCCTGCTTGGGATTCTGTGTCTCCCTCTCTCTCTGCCCCTCCCCCATTCATGTTCTGTCTCTCTCTGTCAAAAATAAATAAACATCTAAAAAAATTTAAAAACATAAAAAACCAACCATATGGAAAAAAGGGGGCACTTGGGTGTCTCAGTTGGTTAAGCATCCAACTCTTGATCTCAGCTCAGGTCTTGATCTCAGCGTCATGAGTTCAAGCCCTGCATTTGGCTCCACATGGGGCATGAAGTCTACTTAAAAGGAAAAATAAAAAATAAAAAATAAATTAAGCATAAACATAAGAGTTTATTTCTAGGCTCTCAGTTCTTCTATTCCATTTGTCTATAAGTCTATCCTAATGCTAGTGCCATGCTGTCTTGATGACTAACTTTTCAGTAATTTTGGAATAAGTTAGTGTGAGTACTCCAACTTTATTCTTCTTTTTCAAGATTGTTTTGGTTGTTTGGAGTCCCTTTAATTTCCATATGAATTTTAGGATCAGTTTTTCAGTTTTTCAGTTTTTTCACAGGGATACCAGAGAGCTGGGGGAAAAGGCTAAGGAGAGTTAAAATGCTACAAAGTTGTGTTCTTGCTGAATTTCAGTTGTGTGTGTGTGTGTGTGTGTGTGTGTGTGTGTGTGTGTGTGTGTGTGGTGTGTTTAATAAATTCTCCAGAATTGCTACAAATCCTTGGTTAATTTCCAGAGCTCTGAAAAAGTTGCTTCTGACCATTTTTGCCAATTTTTTCATTGATTTTATGGAGAAAAGAATTTTCTAAAATCCTTATTCTATCATTTTCCCCAGCATCACTCCCTGAGTAAAAGATTTTTGAAAAGCATCTTGGAGGGAATTGAAGCTGACTCTACTCCCAAATAAGAGCGTGGGAAAGTTGGCTTTATAAAGATATGTAAGTCAATAAAGGAAAGATAGTCCCATGGAAATTCAAGAAAAGGACTTCTAATATAACTGGGCCCAAGATATTAAAGCTAGAATTCAAGGTAGCTTTAAAAAAATGAGCAGAACTTCATAGATCTTCACGTTAGTGGTCTGCCATACAAAATAGTAATTAAAGGCACAGACTTTGAACTCAGCTATCTGGATTCAAATTCCAGATCCACTTACTAACTATATAACCTCATTTTTCTCATTTATCTAACAGGGGTAATAATAGTACCTACATCATAGGCATTTTCATTGAGGTTGATAAGAATCAATCTTTGAATCTATGAATCAATTCATAGACTAGAATAGATTTTAGAATAGTCCCTGGCAGGGGTGCCTGGGTGGCTCAGTCAGTTAAGCATCCAACTTCAGCTCAGGTCATGATCTCGCGGTTCATGAGTTCAAGCCCCACGTCGGGCTCTGTGCCAACCACTCAGAGCCTGGAGCCTGCTTTGGATTCTGTGTCTCCCTCTCTCTCTGCTCCTCCCCTTCTCATGCTCTGTCTCCCTCTCTCTCAAAAAATAAACATAAAAAAAAAGAATAGTCCCTGGCATAAATTGTGTGCTGTAAAAATGTTGCTGTTATTATTTTTATGTAATCAACTAGTTCAGTCTCTATTTCACTTTTCTTTTCATTACCACTGCCATCTTCACTCTCTGTATCTTTTTAATATCACAGACCTTGGTCTTAGTTTCAATTTTATTATAATTTTTGGTAACATATCTTTGGCTTACTTATTTCCTTACTCTCCTTGCTCAACTTCATGGTCACTGTCTATATTTTCTTAGCTTTAATTCATATTTCCAGAGGTAATATCAGAATGGTCCATCTCATCCCTCTTTGAACAGAGCTTTCTACATTAGGCCACCTCATGGGCTCCTTCCTGGCCTTTGGATTATCTGCCCTTGAGATGGTTGCCTGTCTGTAATGAGATAATGTGGTATAACATATGGCTGTTTAGGATGGTACCATAAGCATATAATGTTTCTGTTGTACACAGTGGTGACTGAAAAATCATGATTAACACTTCTTTTATTTCAGGGTAAGATATAATCCAGTTAATCAGAAGACAATGAATGCCAAGAGAGGACCAGGAAAAAAGATTACAAGATCAAACCATCTCCCAAAACTCGATCCATAATTCTAGAACTGGAATTCTATTTCTTCCTTTTTCTCATCCATAATATTCAACTTATGAAGTTAATGTGCAACACATTTTTCAGGGAATGAAATAGACAAGAAAGAGCTATCAAACTTCTCCTTAGCCCCTCTTACAAAAGTTTTTTTCCTTTGTCTGTATTAAAGTAATTTTCTGAAGTGATCTAATATAAGTGATCTAAAATACCTAATAGTGTTGCTTTTGATTTTAAAAATATCCTGAAAGTTGGCATTATTACACTTGCCTTTAATAATAATATATCCATGATCTGTGCTGGTAGTAATTGGCTTCTAGTTGGTTGTTAGCTAAAAATGTGAGCTCATCAAAACATTTAGTTCTTATAGGCTATATCATATTCAGATCTTTTAAACTTATGGTTTAGCAACAGATGTTGGTGAGGATATGGAGGAAAGGGAACCCTCTTGCACTGGTAGTGGGAGTGCAAACTGGTGTAGCTGCTCTGGAAAACAGTGTGGAGGTTCCTCAAAAAATTAGAAACAGAATTACCCTATGACCCAGCAGTAGCACTCCTAGAAGTTTATCCAAAGGATATAGGAGTGCTGATTTGTAGGGACACATGTACTCCAATGTTTATAGCAGCACTATCAACAATAGACAAATTATGGGAAGACCCAAATGTCCATCAATTGATGAATGGATAAAGAAGATGTGGTGCATAGATACAGATACAGATATAGATATAGATATAGATATAGATATAGATATAGATATATAGATATAGATATTAGTGATGAAAAAGAATGAAATATTACCATTTGCAACAACGTGGGTGGAACTGGAGGGTATTATGCTAAGTGAAATAAGTCAGTCAGAAAAAGACACATATCATATGTTTTCACTCATATGTAGAATTTGAGAAACTTAACAGAAAACCATAGGGGGAAGAGAAAGAAAAATGAGTTATAAACAGAGAGAGAGCCAAACCATAAGAGACTCTTAAATACAGAGAACAAACACTGATGGGGGTGGGGAAAATGGTTGATAGGCATTGAGGAGGGCACTTGTTGGGATGAGCACTGGGTATTTTTTGTAAGTGATGAATCACGGGAATCTACTCCTGAAGCCAAGACTACACTGCATATACTGTATGTTAGCTGACAATAAATTATAAGAAAAATAAGTACTAAACTTATGGCTTAGGGCACCTGGGTGGCTTAGCTGGATGTCCAACTCTTGATTTCAACTCAGGTCATAATCCTAGAATGGTAGGATCAAGCCCTTGTTAGGCTCCATGCCAAGCACGGAGCCTGCTTGGGATTCTCTCTTTCTCCCTCTGCCCCTCTCCCCTGCTTGTGCTGTCTCTCTCTCTCTCTCTAAAATAAAAACAAAACACAAAACATAAAAACTTATGGTTTAAACAAAGCTACAAATCAGATGGATTTTAAACTTTGATTTGAACTAATGTGGTGTTATGGACATAACCTTCAATCAGCCATCAGCTTGGTTATAATTCCCACCCTGCCATGAACTTAGATCTTGGGCAATTTCCTTCATCCCATCTTTATTTCCCATATCAGTAAAATGATGGAGGCAAATGATATAACTTCTAAGGTTTGTACTTTGCTAGAAAACCAATACTTACTTAACTACAAGCTCCTACTACTTAGCACATAGTGATTTAAATCATTTTATGATGTTTCTTAATTCACAGTGATGGCCTAATTCTGTAGACCAAATATTGCAAGCATTCACAATCTTCAAGTCTAAAAGTGGAGATAGAGAGGATAGGAGAAGGGTTTATTTAAGGCATTTATATAATTTATTGAAATTTTCTATTTATGTTTAGGTTGTTTTATAATTGTTACCTAGGTCTGGAACATACCTATGATTTATTTGCCCAACTTAATAAGTAAAATTATTAGACTTTATATTTCCAGAAATAACTCACAGTTAACTAAGTATATTTTCCAGCAAATGGTGTTCCCACCTTATATCTGGAACTAAAACCTAACTTCCATTTAGTATCAGTAATGAATACTAAATGCATTTCTATAATAAATTGTATAGATATTCACTTTCCTTAAGGAACAATGCATACATTTCAGATAGACAAATAATTCTTTTATGTGACTTTAAAAAGTAATACAGAAAAACATTCAGTAACTTTCTATAAATTATTCCAGATGGAAACTGTTTGGAAATATTTCTCCCATTCCTTTTTTTTTTTTTTAAGGTTTATTCATTTTTCAGAGACAGAGACAGAGAATGAGCCAGGGAGGGGCAGAGAGAGGGGGAGACATAGAATCTGAAACAGGCTCCAGGCTGTCAGCTGTCTGCACAGAGCCTGACGCTGGGCCCGAACTCATGGACCACGAGATCATGACCTGAGCCAACGCTGGACACTTAACCAATTGAGCCACCCAGGCACCCCTATTTCTCCTATTCTTAAGCTAACAACAGATATCAGGTATAGTGACCCATATTGTTAAGCAAATATTAGATTTTTTTTTAATTTTTTTAAAAAAAAAAATTTTTTTTTCAACATTTATTTATTTTTGGACAGAGAGAGACAGAGCATGAACGGGGGAAGGGCAGAGAGAGAGGGAGACACAGAATCGGAAACAGGCTCCAGGCTCCGAGCCATCAGCCCAGGGCCTGATGTGGGGCTCCAACTCACGGACCGCGAGATCGTGACCTGGCTGAAGTCGGACGCTTAACCGACTGCGCCACCCAGGCGCCCTGCAAATATTAGATTTTTAAGTCTTATACAATCTTTCTTAGCATTAGCAGCAAACTGATGATTTAAATATTAATGATATTTATAATCAGAATTGTCACTGAAAAATAAATTTATTTCTATCATACAAAGCAAGCCGTTGTGGGGATTGGATTTAAGAACATTTAAATTTATGTCAATTACTAGGATGGGTAGTTGAACATCTTATTACAGGGACACTGTCATGTTCAGTATTATTTCTGCAGGAGCTACTTTGGGATACTTCAATGACAGAAAAGGTCTGTCTTAAACAGAGAGATGGCGTAGCATAAAGAACTGATATGGGGGCTTTCTAAGATCTAAGTTCTAATATCAGCTTTGCCACTTCTAAGATTCTGACCTTGAGTAAGCCACTTTTCATTGTCTCATTTTCATCATTTATGGAACTGGGAATAAATTGCTGTGCAGATCAAGGATAGTTACTACATATTTATTTGTTTATTTGCCCTATTTCTAAAAAGATTGTGTTAGATTTTACTAAATATAGAGGTATAAAAACAAAGATCATAAGATAACAGAAAAAAAAAGTTAATTTCTTGTAAGAATTCCCAACTAAGAAAAGCTTGAGCTTTTAAGCTTTCTAGCAATCAGCACAAAGAAGGACTGAATTATACAGCTCTCACCTTTTTGTAGAAGGAATATACAAGTAGAGAAAAAGTTTTACCTAATTCTAAGCTTTAACGATAATGTATCATGTGAAGTTTTGTTTTGTTTTGTTTTTTTGACAGAGAGAAAAAGAGAGCGCGTGCGCACACACACGTGTTAGCTGGGGAGGGACAGAGGGAGAGGGAAAGAGAAAATCCCAGGTAGCCTCCGTGCTGTACAGACTTGAGGCTTGATCTCACGACCATGAGATCATGACCTGAGCCAGAATCAAGAGGGGGACACTTAACCGACTGAGCTACCCAAGCACCCCTCATGTGCAGTTTTATAAGAAAATGTAATTATTTTTTGAAATAATGAGTGCAAAAATGATAGCTTGGGATTTTAACTTTGTTTAATACTGAAATATGTATTAATATCAGTGTTTGGGTTTTTTTTGAAGAGTTTAGAATTCATAAAGCAAAATATCAGTGAGCAATATTTAATATATTTCAACATTTTAATATCTAAATGTGTTATAAAATATCAATATCATTTATGAAAACAAATTTTGCTATGAAAAAGGAAGATGGTGAGTAAAAACAAGGATGTGGAAAAATTGGAACCCTCATAAACTGCTGGTGGGGATGTAAAATGGTACAACCATTTTGAAAAAGAGTTACTATATGATCCAGCAATTCCACTCCTAGGTATATACCCCAGAGCAATGAAAACCTATATCTATATAAAAATGTATATACAAATATTTATAGCACCATAATTCATAATAGCCAAAAAATGTCCATCAACTGATGAATGGATAAACAAAATGTAGTGTATCTAAACAGTGGGATATTATTCAGCAATAAGAAAGAAGTACTGATGTATACTACAATTTGGATGGACCTTGAAAACATTCTAAATGGAAAAAGCCAGTCATAAGAGGTCATATATTGTATAATTCCATTTATATGAAAAGTCCAGAATAGGCAATTCATGCAGACAAAAAGTAGGTTAGTAATAGTTTCCAAAGGCTGGTGGGGCTAGGGGAAGAAGGGTGGGTGATGGGGAATGACTGCTAATGTGTACAAGATTTCTTTTGGGGGTGATGAAAATGTTGCAAAATTAATTGTGGTGATGGTTGCACAACTCTGTGAATATACTAAAAAACACTGAGCCAGTTAGATGAGTTAATTGCATGTTATATGACTTGTACCTCAATAAAGCTGTTATAAAAAACAAATGTTAAACATGCTAATATGTTAATATAAATTAGCAAATAAATTTTAATAAAGTATTATTTGATCTTTCTCAGAAGATGTGATCTTAAAAATTAAGATGGATCGTCATTTGGTGCTATTGTTGAGTCAAGAACATAATTTTGAGCATAATTTTCCAACAAAGAAACTCTTTCAGATACTACACTAGTCAGAAGAATAATGAGGATTAAGTGCTACTTGCCAAATTTCCTTGACTTCTTTTGAATAATCTCATCTCTTGCTTCATAACCTTGTGGAGAGATTTATGAAACATTTTTTAAAGGAATCTGTATGTTTATTTATTTACTTTATGAAATTTATTGTCAAATTGGTTTCTATACAACACCCAGTGCTCATCCCAACAGGTGCCCTCCTCAATGCCCATCACCCACTTTCCCCTCCCTCTCACCCCCCATCAAACCTCAGTTAATTCTCAGTTTTTAAGAGTCTCTTATGATTTGGCTCCCTCCCTCTTTAACTTTTTTTTCTTTCCTTCCCCTCCCCCATGGTCTTCTGTTAAGTTTCTCAGGATCCACATAAGAGTGAAAACATATGGTATCTGTCTTTCTCTGTATGACTTATTTCACTTAGCATCACACTCTCCATTTCCAT